AGCAGAGACGCCGGTAGGAATGGGATAGGTAAGATTAGGGCTGTTTTTAAACGGTTCATTTGATGACTGACAGATATTTGTTATTTGTCTATATCACTAAGATTAGGTATTATGATTACTTGCATTATTTACATTATTTGGACGGTTATCCTCATCTTCATTGCCATGTTCATCAAGTGTTTGGAAATTTAGACATTGCATGTAGAGGACACAAAATATAATTCGAAGTCTGGCAAAAAAGTAAGGTGAGCGAGTAATATTCAAGAATTCTTCGTTTTGTACATCTTCTAAGGCTGAAATGTTTGATTTAATGGTTTTCTTTTGATTTTTCAACATATTTGTTGTTGTGCATGCGAAAGTTGGGGCGTAGATTAATGTTTTTATAAGATTAGATGGCAGCCCTCTCGGCGATTTTCCTTCTGAATAAAAAAAACTTTCTCTTTTGATGAGTGTAGCATTATGGTTGAATTTATTTCCGTGAGTGACTAGTCCATTTGATAAAATGTTACGTATAAGGTCTATAAGGTTACGTATAAGGTTTATTTTGTGTTTATAGATACTTTTTTTTTTAAATGTCTGCATGTTTCCCCAGTATAATGTGAGGAACAATTTTGGCGATTTATTTTATATATTCCTGCTTCTAAATTATTATTGTTACGGGTGTTTTTAGTTCTGATCACATCCATAATGGTTTCGGATGTGGTTGTGACTAGTTGGATGTTGTTTAGATGGGATTAATTAAATGTTCTCAAATTTAAAAGGCTTGATCAACCAGTGACATCCACGTCACTGTGTATAAAAACACATGCAGCATAATGAATTATTACATTACCTTGATAAAATCCCTCAGAGGACGAAACGCGCCGGCTAAATATACTTTTTTCTTCTTGTCTTTTTTTTATATATATATATATATATATATATATATATATATATATATATATATATATATATATATATACATTGTTATTATTATTATTATTATTAAAAATGTTTTCGTCACGACACAGAAATTACTACATTTCGGAACAAAAATTAAAATTAAAATTTTTGTTCCATTATCAAGCGATGCAGAATAACTTCAGAAAAATGATTTACATTTCCAAACAAAATTGTATTATATTTAAGAGTTTAAGTTGGAGGGGGGATGAGATTTCAAAATTATAAATGGGTCTTGTCTATTCTGGCATAGCAGGGAACAAGTCTAATCTAAGATGGAAAACTGAAAATGTAGGTTAAAGGTTTGATCTGCGTATATAATTTTTGCTTGCCGATACGGTCTCAAGTGTATAAATATGCATCATTATGTCTAACTTTCTTGGAAGTTATGTAAGATACATTAAAACACTGGGAGTTATTTTTAACGAACCACGGGTTAATTTTGGCATTATAATTTATTTTTTATTATTTTTCCAAATACATATGGGCTGTCTTAAAAGAGCTTCAAATATGATTAAATTATATATTATATATTCATATTTTTTGGAAGATCTAAAATTCTATATTTATTATATTTAATGGTACATTACATGTAGTAATGTTAAAATTAAAATTAAAAATTTAGGAATTTAGTACACATTTTTTTTATTTCTAATCAAATATAGATATGTAATTATGAAAGTTTTATTAATTATGTTTTAAAGTGAACATAATGCAATACCTACAAAAGACAATTATTTCTTTTCGTTGATTTAATAAATCTTTATTTTTAAGAAACTAAATATATAACTTTTCATGTAGGCACAAAGAACATGGATCATTTAAAGACCTACAATTTCTCGTTTTTTTTATAATTTACATTTTACTGTGGGGGGTTATTTGTTTCTTTTAAATGTCAGAAATATTTAGATAGGGATGCTTGGTCACGATTCTCATTGAGGAAGACAGGTGCTTGATCCATCTTAATTTAAAATCATTTTTAGTGCTACCAATATAATTTTTTTAATATCTGGATTTTCAATAGCTAGAATAGTAAACTATACATTCTGTAAGACACTTATTATTCAATGAACAATTTATGGGATTCCTAGAGTTACAAAATTTTTCATTACTATTATTTATTCTCATTTCTGAACCACTATGTTTTTTCTTATTTTGCTTTAAGTATTATTTTAAAATTTTTTATATATTTTTTTCTAAATTTTCAGTACAACTATAACTCAATTTATTAATTTTATTAATAGCTTTTTAATTCTTAAGAAGATTATTTCTTGGAAAAATGTTTTTCAATCAAAGCAAGACATTTTTATCCTAACTTACTACTAACTATTTAGTTAAATGGGCGTGTGTACCAAATGATTTTTCTATTTCTTCTCTGGTTACTTTTTTAAAAAATTATTTTTGTATTTAATGTCGGGGCATTTATAGCCACTATTCTTTAAAGCTTCATTATAAAATTTACAATGTTCATAGAATATCTCTTCATTAGCAGAATTTATACTAATTCGTTTCTCTATGGATGAAGGTATATTTTTTATTATAGATGAGGAGGATGATTCGCCTTAGGGAGGATATATAAAGGTTTGGTATTTGGTTTCTTATAAGGTAGGTATATATTTTTCAATAAGTCTAATGTTACATCGAGAAAGTTTACCTTTTCTAGTTTTAGGGTGGAGTAATAGATAGCGGTTCTGATTGACGAATCGGAGAGCCGAGTTCGAATTCCAGTCGAATCCTTTACATTCTCTACGTGATAATACCCTTGGAAATGTATTAATCCTCCTTTTCTCCCACCACCACCAGCTATGGGTAAATAGCAGAACAGACCGGGTTCTATAGCTTTGGATGGCAACTAGTCTACCGCAGAAAGAAATGGCAACCTACTGCGGGGAAAAACCTGTCTTGTCAGTCATGTATCGAAAGATACATGATCGCCTAAGCTTGTGGCACACATGTCACACAACTGACTGATTAATAGTAACTTTTAAATTTAGGCACTTAAATTCTCTATAGATTAGTTTTCTCATCTTGTCAATATATATATATATATATATATATATATATATATATATAATTGATAACAGAAATTGATATAATTGATAACAGAAGCTTATACCAACGGCTTCCCATACATAACACTTCTTGTTTTCATTCTCGTGTGGTCATGCGTGACGTCATGGACCGCGGTGCGATTTTCGCTTCCAGCGTCTCATATGAAAGTGTTTCTTGTTGCTTGGTGATCTTCCATGCAAACAAAACAGTTTATCATTGTTTAATTTATTGTAATGTAATTGTCATCTTCGATGATGGATTATGTAAGCCGAAAGCTTAGATAGGATTAAAAAACATGTATCAATATGCTGATTTTCTTTTGTCTTTCAACGATAATATTATTAAGCTTATCAGACGATATGAAAGGAATTTGTTTAAAATAAATAGAAAAAACTTGTCTATATTATTTAATGAAACATGCATCAATGAAAAATGCCACATAAATACATACAATACACACACACACACACACACACATATATATATATATATATATATATGCATGCAAGCTTCATTAAATTTAACAGACAAGGTACTTTGATTAGGTTTTTTATATAATTTCTCATATGATCTTACAATTTTACTTTTCGGTAGCTAAAAACTGTTCAAATGTTATATTTTGCCAAGAAATTTTAGCCATTTTCAAGGTTGAAATATATTTTACAAGAAAAAGATTCTTGTATGTTGTCAATCTCATAGTTAAAAATACAAATTCATCTTTTAGATCAAAATTAAATAGAACAAATATTATTTACGAATTTAAATGTCCGTTAAAGAATTGTGTTCCTAATCAATCAAAATTCGTAAACAATTATATTGGCCACACCACAACATGTTTAACAAGAAGACTCACACTCCATCTTTCTGACCATAGCTCAATTAGTTCTTTTTTAAATACTCATGGAGACTTACTGGACCCTATTCGCAACATACCTTTTGATAATACCAACATAATAGCATTGTCTACCTGTAAAGAAATGCTAAAAATAATGGAAGCCTTATTAATAAAAACAAAAAAAAAAAAACAATACTCAATAATATCAACTATGAACATGGACGCAGTATACTGACCGTGTTTTGAAAATAAGACATTCCATAATATTTCCGATATACATACAACAGCTATTTCCCGTTTACAGTTAATATATTTCATTCTTGAAAATAATTAAATGTATAGCAATAAGCAGTCTTAAATAATATAACATTTCGACAATTTTTTAAAATTTATCTGCTGAAAAGAAAAAAAAAATATATAAGAGCATATGAGAAATTATATAAAAACCTTCACCAAAGCCCCTTGTCTGCCATAGTTAATGAAACTTGCATGTAAGAAGGATTGCTGCCTAAATACACAATATATATATATATATATATATATATATATATATATATATATATATATATTATTAATACTATAAATATTAACTTTAGCGGATACACGTATTTGAGTAGGCACCCCTGTTTTTTTAAGTGAAATTAATGGCAACCGGCCTAAAAATCGAAAATTCTGACTAAAAAAATGTACCACGTGACAAGAATCGACCCAGTGCTCGTATTTTTCACCGGGGAAAATATTTTCAACCCAAATATGCCTTGACCAATTATGCTAACGGGATGCATCGTTGCTCCAAGGAAAGCCTTCGACATATGATACCTCGGAGGTCAGCCATCATTATCACAAAGCCAAGTCGACGTAATGTTATCTCACCATACTAGCAGATTTCGTCGGTAAATCTCTCTCTTCATATATATATATATATATATATATATATATATATATATATATATATATATATATATATATATATGCACGCAGACAATAATGAATAATAAAATAAGTAAGCGAAAAACATGATTGCAGACTGAGTGTTCATTGGCTCGTTGTCAAAGCGTGTTAAGGTGGTCAGCTGACCAATGGTGCATCTCACGTTCTGCCTCACTAGCCAATATGTTGTCCATTGATTTAGTCGGCTTCCGGACCTTTTGCCAGCTTCGTTCACAGGTCGTAACTTGTTTTATCTCGGAACAATGGAAAAATCAAAGAGACTTTCAAAGCATCACTCTCTCA